TTCCAGCAGGTCTGCTTCAGCTTTTTCAGAACAGCTGCATTTTCTTCTTGAAATCTCTTCACGCCCAAATTTTGAAAGGTCATTGCACCCTCCACCAATTGTTTCCTTTCTTCAGGCCGGAGCTTCCTTTTCGCATGAGCAACGCCCAAAGCATATAGCTGCTCGAGGTTTACCATTTTAAGCTTTGTTGTCAGCGCGGGGAAATACTTACGGAACCAGGCCAAGCTCTTCAGCTTCGTCTGGCTTTTGTTTTTTTTATCCTCTCACCTGTCTTCAACTGCGTGCAGTGGAAGCCTTACGACTCATCGCCTCAGGTGCATCATACCACTCTTCGGCGTCCGCTCCAGCCTGCTCAGGCGTTGGTGCTTCATGCCATTCTTCCGCCTCCTGACCCTGATCAGGTTTTTCGGAAGGGGCAATTGGTGATTCTGCCTGTTCTGGCAGTGATGCTGTTTCTGTTGCTGAAGTGCTTGTTGTAGAGACATCAACGCTTCCAGGGGTGGAAGACTCCTCATTGGTGAGGGCCTCAGTTTCGTCGGGACTCTCATCGCCGCGAGTTACGCCTGTTGCAACAGCGGCAGCGCCGGCCCCCCCTAACCCTGCGGCTGCTGCTCTTTCTGCCCCTGTAGATTGCCCTCGTGATCTGCGAAACCTCGGAAGCCTGTTGTAAATATTTGCCGCTGCCCGTCGCATTGCATTTTTTGCCCGGGAAGCCCCGCGCCGTATATGTCGCCATAGGCGCCTCAGCCTATCCCTTGCGGAGCCTCCCACACGACTTAAGACCATGCGGATACGAGCAAGCCTCCCATGCGGCCTTTTGTGCTCTCGATTATGTTCCTGTTGTGGATGTTGTTGTTGCCGGGCCTGCAGGAGGCTCGGCGTTTCGCCGTTCCCACTCCATACGCCGGTAGGGGTCCCTTGTTGTGATCTATAGGATTGAGAACGGAAGAACTTTTGCTGCCGCAACAACTCAGGGGCCTTCTGCTCTTCAGAGGGGCCGAAGTTGGAAGAGGTGCTTCCAGTTCGATGCGTCGTCAAAACAACAGACCCGGGTGGCGATGCCGGTCGGCCGCCGAGGTGGGCTGATGGAATGAAGGAGGGGTTGCGGGCAACGGCACCATGAGGCCTTCTTATATCAATGGTCAATACGGAAGTATTCACAAGCGATCCGAGCAAACACCATAACAGTGGTATCAGACGAGCACGATCTGTCGCCCTTCGCCCCATCCTTCCGAGAGACACAGCCGATTCTGCCGATACAAAGACCACAGAAAGCTTGAATGGGAGACAAGCAAAACAATTCCGGAAATTCAAAAAATGTTTAAAATGAAGGGTCTTTCTCAGGCAATTCGTAGACGTGAAGCCGCACAAACACCGTCGACAGTCGCCTTGTGTGTCCAATGGCCCGCCGCCTACCGACTCCTCGGCTTGAGGAGCTGACCAGGAGTTATAAGACGATCGCACACGAAAACTGTAAGAAGACCAGTTTTATTCGAGTTTTATTTTCAGAACAGCTTAAAATATACTAAAATTACTCATAATTTACTCTGGTGTAGCCATTTCAAGCGGACGGCTGCCGGCTGGGCTGGCGCGCCACCGTCTGTCTTGTTGACGAGGAAGTTCTTCCAGTGGATCCCTGGATAGCAGCAAATATCCAGCAGCGTAAAGTCTCAATTTAATTTTCGCATTATTTTTAAAACATGTTTTCATAATACACTTTCCTTGCAGTGGACATACAAAACCACACTGCTGCTGCGTCGTATGGCGGACAGTTCGAGCCGCTCGGCGAGCCGTTGAACCGATTTTCAGGCGAACTTCGACGCACGATGAACCTAATAGCTCCGAACACCTTGATAAGAGTAAGTTGTAAGCCAAATAAGAGCAAAGAAACAACTTTATTGAGCCGGAAAACGGGTTGCAACGTAGCGAATGGGACGAGGGCCGGCCAGGGTCATTCGCCTCCCAGTGAAGTGTGCCCTCGCAACACAGAAGAAATGTTTTCTTCGACAGCCCGTAGACCCCTAAGCAAACTCAAAATTCATCTTAAGACTCTTTTCTGGGTCTAATTTAACTCCTAAATCCCCATCGCACGCACGCAGGAGAATGCAATGTAGCTCCAGGAGAGTCCTACTNCTAATTTAACTCCTAAATCCCCATCGCACGCACGCAGGAGAATGCAATGTAGCTCCAGGAGAGTCCTACTAAGATGACGTTAGAGTATGCTTAGGGGTCTATGGGTCGTAGAAGGAAACACTTCTTCTCTGTTACGAGGGCAAACTAAACTGGAAGGAGAATGACGCTGGCTGGCTTTCGCTCCATTCGCTACGTTGCAAGCCGTTTTCCGGCTCACAGTTTGTTTCTAGCAAGCGATCTCGATCTGAGCTAAGGAAGTCGAAAGTAGCAGTGGAGCCAAACACCTGAGACAAGAGTTCCCCCAAAGCATCAGGACTCCTGCCCCGTCACCAGCCTCTCTCTGGGCAGAGCATTCCAAGTGCCTGGGGCTGCTGCGAACTGGAGGCGGCCTGCCACGAGCTGCGGTGCGCCCTGCTGCAGCGAGTGGTGCAAGGCAACCTCAGGCACAAGCACAGCCTAGCCCCCCTTTGCTTCATACACTAGCGCTGTATACGATTGTTACTTGGTCCTCAGTAAGCAGCCCGCACGAAGGTGGAAATGCATGTACATACACACTTGAAACGGACCACGCTACGCCTGACACTCCCTCCTTACCCAAGAAGCACACGTCCGCGTGTGGCTATCTGCACAGCAAAAGCATTGGTAGACCGAGGGGGGATGCTTTTGCCGCACGTGCTGCTGCTGCAGCGGGTGTTGTTTTTGCCGTATCATCAGTTCCTTCTGCTACATTCCTTACCACCCCGTCGCTTGCTGTTGCATCCCTTGCTGCCGCGGCTCTTGCTGTTGTATTGCTCTCGGTTGCTGCTGCCTCCCCTGCTCTTGCATCGCTTGCGGGTGGAGTTCCTGCTGCGCGGGCTATATGTCCGCGCTCCTGTTGTTGCCGACCCTTTTTTGCTTGTCATGTTGTGACCATTTTGCTGCTGATCCGGTTGCTGAGGGTCGTGTTTCTGATGTTTCTGTTGCTTCTCTAGTTGTAGCTGCTGTTGCTTGTGTTGCCCTTCCCCCTGTTCCCGCTGCCCGTGCTAGCTGTGGCCCCACGTTCTCCACAATTCGACGCAGTATGCAGTTGCCGCAGCACTCAACAGCTGTTGAATTAGAAGGATAAGTAAAAAAGAAGACTAGCTTCGGAACTTCCCTGCAGCTACCGTAGGGTGTAGACGCCACCCCGCCGCAGCAGACGAGGCTTCCTTGGCAGTGGAGGGGCAATCGACCTTGCTGCGGATACCGCAGCTTGCTTCAACGCGACTCACCACACTGTTTGCA